TCAAATTAAATTCATGCATTCTATTGTTGTCAGGCTCTTAGGAAACTTTCCCCTGCCATCATCCATTCGCTCTGCTCTATACTTTATATGCACAAAAATTTGACAAAACTGGTTTCCTGAAAACCAAGATCCGAGGCATGCTTTTACATGAAAAAGCAAAGGCAAACAAACCAAAAAGCTTTTCAATTAAATCCCGCTGCAGCAGGTGTATTTGTCTGTTTCAGCAAAAACCACTAAGAGTCTTGCGACACCTTAAGAGACTAATAAATTTATTATGGCAGAAGCTTCCATGGATTAGAGTCCACCTCATCAGAGGCCTGCTAACTTAGGGAAACTTTTTATTCATGTGATGAATTGGTCACAAGTGTGCAAACACTTCTGCCATGCTACACCTCAGAATTGTCACCTTTTTATTTCAAAATATGCAGAGAGTTTGTCATGTTCGACTTGCCCAGGTGGTATATAGTAGCAAAGCTATGGCTGCAAGGGCACTACAGAAATAGTGCAGTTCAACACCACTTTAACTGCCATGGTTCCATGCTATGAAATTCTGGGATTTGTAGTTTGTTGTGGCACCAGTTCTCTGACAGGGAAGGCCCAATATCTCACAAAACTACAGATCCCAGAATTTCATAGCATGGAGCCACGGCAGTTATATGAATGTCAAACTGCATTCATTCTGCAGTGTAGATGCAGTTTACGATACAAATATATGCAATAAGCTAACTCTCCTTTATCCACAATTCCAAAATCCAAAATAATTTTTTCATGGGTGGCTGAGACAGTGACACCTTTGCCTTCTGATTCAGTGATTCCCAGACGTTGGTCATTCAGGTGTTTCGGACTTCAGCTCCCAGAATTCCCAAATGTTGGCCAAACTGGGTAAAGCTTCTGGCAGCTGAAGTCTAAAACACCTGGACAACCAAATTTTGGGAACCACTGTAAGATCAATGTATACAAACTTTTTTTTTTTCAATGCACAAATTAAAAATACTGCATACAAAATTACCTTCAGGCTATGTGTAAAAAGTGTCTGTGAAACATAAATGGATTTCGCGTTTAGACATGTATATTCATATATTCCCAAATCTGAAAAACTCCAAAATCCTAAACAATTCTGGTTCCAAGCATTTCGGATATGGACGAATCTACCAGATGATGATGATGATGATGATGAGAGTGGGGGAAATGGCATTTAGCTCCTTTCTAGATGACAGGGGATCAGATCTACTTCCTTGTAAGTGCCGTTTGGGGATGCGGGTCTGGATTTATTGCATATGTAACTCCGGTGTTTACACATG